AGTGGAGTAACAACGTCTTCCCTGCTTGGATCTCAGCCCTTTCACGGCCCAGGGCAGGATAAACACCGGCCCAGAGCAGGATAAACACCAGCACAGCCACTGCTGGAAGGGGAACAGCTCAGGGGGCTTCACCCACCTCCCCACCCAACCCTCCTGAACCTGCTCCCACCCCATGATGGGAGGGTTTCACCTGGACCCAGCCAGCCCTGCCTGGATCATCACTTTTCTTTTTAAATGTCTTTTTTTATTTTTTTTTCCACCCTCCCTCCCTGGTTTGGAGGCAGAAGTGAGAACTCTAAGAGAGAGAAAAAAAAAAAAAAAAAAAAAAAAAGGAAAAGAGCAGAGAAGAATCGGGGTCAACACGAGCAGCAGTATTTCAGTCGTCCTTTGAGAGCTTGTCTATACTCACTGTGGGTGTTCTCCTTGCAAACGCTGAGCAGGAGATGTTTTCCCTTAGTAGGGCAGGATCCTGTGCTCGGCCCTCCTCGCCTGGCCATAAAAGGGCAGCATTTTCTGCAGGACCCCCGGATCCTCCGAAAGCTGACGGGTTTTTGGGAAGGGGCCTGCCCTGCCACTGCTTGCTTTGGACCTCACAACCCTCGTGTTAGTGCTATTTTGGCTCCTTCTTTTCTTGAGCCTTTTGTTTTGTCTCTCTCCTCCTCCTGCTCCTCTCAGGAGGTTGGAGGGAGGGAGGCCAGAGAGCCTCCAGGAATGTTCTTGCTTCCCCTATTTTTTATTCTTTCTTTCTCCCTCCCTTGGCCTGATTTGATCCCTTCTTTTCCATGATCCTGCTCAGAAAACCAGCTGCTGAGTGAAAACCTCTGGCCAAGCCCAGGATATGTCCCTAACCACGTCCCCAGTCTCCATTCTGTGTCCCAAGGGAATCTGGAGGGCTCTTCCCTCCTGCTCTGCCCAAGCCCTGACCCACTCAGGAAGGGGGGACACCACGGAACCTCCTCTCACCATCTCCTGGAGCACCTCTCCACGGGAATTCCAGCCTAGAGGAGATGCTCAGCAGAGCACAGCTGTAAAAGCAGGGAATCCTGGGCAGGCAGAGCCATGGTTCCACCTGGGAATTCATCATTCCAGGTCCACTTGGCTCTTCACAGAATCATTTAGGTTGGAAAAGACCCTCAAGGTCATCAAGTCTGACCATTAACTGCCAGGCACTGCCACATCCACCACGAAACTCTGTCCCCAGGTGTCCCATCTACACAAACACCTCCAGGTTCTTCCGTGGTTCCTCACAAACCCAAAGCTCCCTGAGCTCTTACAGAGTCTCAGCTTTCTTCTCGTCCCTTGTCCTTGATGACACTTCCTTTGGGGAAGTCTGAAACCATGGAAATGCAAATGGAAATACCAGCTGTCAGTTAAACCAAGGAAATAGGAACCTCTCCTGGTTTCCCTAAACATTTTCATCTGTGTTGTTGTGGCTGATCTTTCATTTAAGACCCTGTGTGACCTTGCAGTTGCCATCTCATGGCCTGGGGAGAGAAAGGAAGAGGTAAAGCCACAGGAGATATCCCTTTTGTGGCCACCACGCTGCTGGAAAGTCCCAGGGAGGAGACCCAACACTTCTGTGTCAACAAGCTCCCTCCATGTGCTCCTTGTTGCCAGTTTCTCCAGAACTTTGCCTTCCTGGAGAACCTGTTCCCTAACAGCAACTGAACTGAGCTCTGGACCCTCAGATCCCTCTGTGCACCCTGTTAACCTTCCCTTCATCATTTTTCACAGCCAGTGATGCTGTGCAAGCTGTGCCAGAGCCATTTCCCAGCCCACAGCCTTCCAGGAAGTCTCCAGAACTTCCAGAACTTTGTATGAAGGCACCAAGAGGTTGGGAGTTACCCTCAGCCAGAAATCCCAGCAGCTGAAGAAGCTCCAACGAGGGATCAGTCACCCACATGCCCCATGGACCGACACAACAAAGCCACCCCAGCGCAGGCTGGGTGGGATCTCACCAAACTGGGTGGGGTGGGATTTGCAGGGACCTTCAGGAGGTTCTTTCAGCAAACCCCACCTAGCCCCTGGGTGGCTGTGGCCAAGGAACCGCCTGTGTTTTTTCTCTCAGGAACATTGCTGTGGTCACCGTGCTCAAATAAAGGGTGTCACCCAAGTGTGTCATTGCTTGTGCCCCTTCCAAGGTTTTCCCCTTGTCGTGGTGGTCCTTGCAGGAGCAGCTTCTCCCTCACCAGGATGGAAAAACTGCACCTGGCAAAGACCAGATCTCCATGTGAGAAGTGGGCTCAGCTTCTTGCAAAAAGCCAGGACCTCTTGGAGAGCCCCTCAGAGAGGGCTTTGACCACCCCTGCAGATTTTCATATTCCAGAGCCATGAGGACTCCAAGTTCTGGAGCTCCCTGGTCCCCTGTGCCACATCCATGAAAAGGCCACAGGGATTTGGACCCTGGAGCAGAGCTTTAATCCCTGTCTCACACCTCCAGCCTCATCTCACCCTCACCCCCAGCACTGGCTGCATTTCCAGGAGCTTATGTAGTTTTTTGGAAAGGTTTCCAGGGTAGGAGAGATGTCAGGCAGGCCAAACACTCATCTCACAAAAACCTTTCTGACAGGGACGATGTTCTGGTGCCACTGGCCAGGAATTTTTTTCCTGTGTAGCAGTGCAGGGTTGAGAATGAGAAAGAGCATTAAAAAAATAAATAAATAAAAAATTAAAAAGCTCTGCAACGAACCCGGCGCAGGCAGGACGTGGCCACGGGGACGTTATGCAAAGAGCTGCTCACATCTGGAAGAAGTTACTGAGCACAGCAACCAGGGCTGAGTCTAAACAAGTGCAGGACGTTACCGCATGGATGTCTGCAGCTGGGAGTGCCTGGGGGAGCCAGAGGAGCTGGGAAGGTGGGATGAAAATCCCCAATGCTCTGGGGATGCCCCCCTGCCCTTCAGAGCTACTGTGCTGCTCTGTTTTTAGGGTGGTGTGGATCCACGTGCCGTTTTGGGTGGTTTGTCTGCAGGAGGGCTGGGGGCAGGAATGGGTTGTGGAGGTGGTCACCATCCCAGTGACCCCATGGGATTTTTGGGGTGTTCTCCCACTGTCTGGAGGAAATGGGGATCCCCCACCTGGATGTGTTTAAGGCAGGTTTGGATCCTGCTATGGTTGGGGAAACTGAGGCACACAGTTCCTTACCCCTCCCCAAACCCCAATAAAAACACCCCAAGGCTTTTTGGGGCATAAAACCTCAATTTGAGGTGTTGTGGAGTAACAGGGATTTATTTAAAATGGGATTTTTGAGGTGTTTTCCTGCTCTTTGGATGAAATGGGGATGCCCCACCTGGATGTGTTTAAGGCAGGTTTGGTTCTTGGGAGCATCCTCTGGATCCTGCTATGGTTGGAGAAACTGAGGCACATAGCTCCTTACCCCTCCCCAAACCAAATAAAAAGACCCCAAGGCTTTTGGGGGGATAAAATCTCCGTTTGGGTTGTAGTAGTTGGCTTATTTAAAAATGGGATTTTGGGGTGTTCTCCTGCTGTTTGGAGGAAATGAGGCTCCTGCACTGGGAGGGAGTTTAAGATACATTTGGTTATAGGGAGCACCCTCTGGATCCTGCTGTGGAGGGGGAAACTGAGGCACACAACCCCTCACCATCACCATCAAAGGAGCCCCTCCTGGGGCTTTTCCTGCTGACGGGCAGAGCCTGTCCCGCTGCTGGAGGCGTGGGAGCACCGTGGGACTCTGCATGGGACCACCATGAACACCCTGGAGCTGCTCCAGCTTCGCCCCCTCGCTGCCCAGAACGAGGATTTTGGGGTACCCAGCTCCTGGCTGAGGCTGGGGGTGTTGGGATGATAAAATCCACCCCTGGCTCAGCACCAGGGAGAGCCAAGCAGAGCTGGGGGTGAAATAATGAAGCTTTGCTTTGTTCTGGAGGGTGTTGGGGGCTGGCTGTGTCCCACAGGTCCTATCCCAGGCCCTGAGGGGGTTTGGGGGATCCCTCTGCTGTAAGGAAATGTTCCTTAAACTCCATCCCGGAGGGCGATCCCCGTTTCCTCTGAACAGTGGGACAACAAAAAATCCCCTTTTGTAATAATTAATGTTGCCTCATGATTCCTCCAATTGGGATTTTAAGCCCCAAAAAACGTTGAGGTCTTATTGCTGGGTTTGGGAAGGGGGTGAGGGGTTGTGTGCCTCAGTTTCCCCTTCCACAGCAGGATCCAGAGGATGCTCCCTATAACCAAATGTATCCTAAACCCCCTCCCAGTGCAGGAGCCTCATTTCCTCCAAACAGCAGGAGAACACCCCAAAATCCCATTTTTAAATAAGCCAACCACTACAACCCAAACTGAAGTTTTATGGCCCAAAAAGCCTTGGGGTCTTTTTATTTGGTTTGGGGAGGGGGTGAGGGGCTGTGTGCCTCAGTTTCCCCAACTATAGCAGGATGCAGAGGATGCTCTCAAGAACCAAACCTGCCTTAAACACATCCAGGTAGGCCACCCCCTTTTCCTCCAAACAGCATGAAAACACCCCAAAAATCCCATTTTAATCAAATGAACGTTATCCACAACACCCAAAACCGAGCTTTTTACGCCCCCAAAAAACCTTGGTGCCTTTCTATTGGGTTTGGGGAGGGGGTGAGCAGCTGCGTGCCTCAGTTTCCCCACCCCAGCGGGATCCAGGGGATGCTCCCATTTAATGCTCTAAATGTGCCTTAAACACATTCAGGTGGGACACCCCCGTTTCATCCAAACAGCATGAAAACACCCCAAAAATCCCATTTTAATCAAATGAACGTTACGGGGCTGCGTGCCTCAGTTTCCCCGCCCCAGCGGGATCCAGGGGATGCTCCCGGGGGATGCCGCGCTGCAGAGGCGGCTGTGTCGGAGGGGTTGGGGTGCGGGGACAGGGGACAGGGGGGTGTCCCCGCGGGGGTGGCGGTGGCTGCTGTCGCTTTAAAGGGGCAGCCGCGGCCCCAGCTGATGCGGCGGCTCCAATCAGCGGCCCCGGGGCTCTTGGCAGCCGGAGCCGCCGCCGCTCCGCATTCCTCCGGCTTCCCAAAAGGGGCGAACATGGCGATGGGCAGGATGAGGTGAAGAGGAGGAGGAGGAGGAAAACATAAAAATAAAATTAAAAAAAAAAAAAAAAAAGAGAGAGAAGGAGGAAAAGAGAGAGAAAAAAAAGATTAAACACAGGGAGAGGAAAATTATGAAAAGGGAAATATAAAGGAAAAGAGGGACGGGGATGCAAGCAGCGCTGGCGCGGTGATTTCCTCCCCCCCCCTCCTCCTCCTCCTCCAAAAGGCGAAAAAAAAAGAAAAAAAAAAAAGCCACCAAACCAGCAACCCACCCAACCCACCAATTCCTTGTTTTTTTCATGGAGAGCACAAACCCCAGGCCAGCGGAGGAGGACCGGGACTCCTCAGCGCGGAGACCTTTGCATCAAAATGGTAGAGCCTGAACCCCCCTCCCTCCCTCCATCCGCCCCCCCTTCTCCCTTTTCCTCCTCGCTTTTCTTTCCCCCTCTCCCTTCCCCTTCCTTCCTCCGCGCTCCCGGGGCTTTGCCGACTTCCCAAAGGCCTCGAAACTTGCCCCAAATCCCGGCCGGGGCGGCGGAGGTGGATGCGGGAGGGGGAGGCCGCATGGGCGATGCTGCATCCACGCGTGAGGGGAGAGGGGAGGGGGCCCTGGATTATTTTGGTTTTTGTGGGTTTTGGGTGTTTTTTTTTGTTTTTTTTTTTGGGGGGGGGGTACAAAAAGCGCAGCCCGGCCGGGTTTGTGCTTTGCTGTGGGGGCTGCATGGGGGTGCCCCCTCTCGCAAGGCTGGTTTTGGTGAAAACGGCATTAAAAACGCGCCCCGCTCCCTCACCAGCTTTGGGGTGCCTTAGAGGGGGATGGGGGTGCGGAAGGGCCGTGAGGAGGGGTCGGAGCCCTCCCTCGGGGGTCGCTGGGAGGATCTGGGGGCACGCACACACTTTTGGAGCCCCCAGGCCGGAGGATTCGCTGGGAGGGGGGGGCGCACGAGCTGCCGCTTCCTCGGCCATTCCCATTCCCCGGATGACTCCATCCTTTTGCCAATTCCTGCCCGCCTTCCCCCCTCCCTCTCCAGGCTGGTTCCCGTCGTGGGCCCCCTTTTCCCGGCGGGTCTGGGGGCGTCTTGAGCGCTCCCCAGCATCCCGGAGGAGCAAAGCTGCAGGGAGGGCGCAGCATCCCCCACCTCTAAAACGGGATTTTCCAGTGCTGCTCTTAAAAAATAATGATAATAATAATAATAATAATAACACCAGAGCTGGGGCTCTCGCCTGCAGCAGTGACCTATTTTATCGGCCGGTGGAGTTTTTTTTTTGGGGGGGGCGTTTAGTTGGAGTTGCGGAGGGCAGGCCTGAGCTGGGAAGATCCACGGGAAATCCCCCTGGGATGTGCTGGGATCGCGGCTCCTCGGAGCCTCCCCCATCCCAAAAAGTGCGGGGTTGTGGTTGCCCCAGCGCTGGCTCCGTGCCCGTCCCACCGCCCCGGGAAGCCTCCGAGTGGAATTTGGGAAAGGGGAAGAAAGTGCAGGCTTGGAAAAATAAGGAGACGGTGATGGGTGGGATGGTGGGATGGGGCTCGGCACCCCCCGAGCATGATCTTGTGGTTAAAGTGGTCGGGTTTGGGTTTGGGTTTGGGTTCACTCTGGGCAGTCACGCTCGGCCTGTGAAATCCCGGCTGAAACCACGCCTGCATCCCTTGCCAGAGGAGATGCTGAGCGACCGGGGGACACACCGGGGTGTTTTGGGGAGCCTTTCGTGCCCTGAGGTGGAGATGGAGACACCCAGAGCCCACCCCAGCGAGGAAGACGGGAAAAAGTTGAGAATTCAACCTTCCTTCCACACCCTGCAAGAACCAGAGGAATATTTGCTTTACAAAGCAAAATTCCTCCTTGGAAAGACACGGAGGGATTTATTATTTTTTAATTTTTTTTAATTTTATTTTTTTCCCCTGGATCTGTGGTGAAATCTCGCTGGGTGCAGACCTTCTGCCTCCATCCAGCTGCAGAGTTTCCCTGAGGATGCTGGCTGGGCTCAGCACCGCTCCAGGGGCTTTTCCCGGGGGTGGCCGGAGGGTCCCCTTTGCCACCTGGGCTTGGAATGACGGCGGAGCTTTGTTCTCCCCGGGAGGAATTAACGGAGCGTTGGTTATCAGCAGGCGAGATAAACGGCCCTGTGTTCCCGTCTGGAGCAGAGACATTGTCACCCCCTCCACAAAAATAACCCGCTGCTGCCTTTGGAGGTGGATCCTTTGGAAAAGACAGGGAGAAACGGGACGTCGCTTGCCCGAGAGTTGATGAAATATTGGTTATTTTTAAGATGCAGATTTTTCTGCTCGTGGAAAAATAAGGGAGGAAATTAAAAAAACCAACCCAAACCTTTTGCGGATGAACTGAATGTGTCAAAAGATCAGAGGGTCTTTGAAGGTTTGGGGGGAATTGCTGATTTTCTTGTTCTCCCTCCTGGAGGAGAAAACTGAGGGCTCTCCCACACTGCTGCATTTCAGCCTTTATAGAGGGGACCTGGTGATGGCCCTGACAAAGTGACTCTCCAGGAAGAGCAAGGGATGAAGTTTTTAATTTGCTGCCATGTTTGCCTGGCCCCAAAAATGTGGGTGTCTAGATGCTCCATGTGGTTTGCATCCTAGATGTCCCCTGACATTCCATGGGTCCCTGTAAAACTGGAGGAGTGGAATTTAGTGGGCAGAATGAGCTCTGTGCCTCCTGCCCCTAATTTTTCCTTATTTTTAAGGGAAATTCGTTGTGTTGTTGGGGTGGTTTGTGCAGGGCAGGGGTGGCCCCATTGGGTTTCCTGCATGGGGACACACCTGAGGACTTGTCCCCATGTCCTCTGGGGCTGCTGTCCCCTCTGCAGCCACCTCTCCTGATGGTGAAAACTGGGATGCCTTTAGATGTGGGGAAAGACTGACCATGGTGGCACAGATGTGATGGGTAGAAGACTTAATTACAACAAACTGTCTCTTTTTATTATTATTTTTATGATTACGTCTTTTGCCTGGAGCCAGGGCTGCTGACACCCTGTCTGAGTTGAAGCCCTGCTCCCCGAGCTACAGGAAAAATGGTGATAAAAATACAGATAAAAATAATGCATGTTCATAAAAATGTTAAAGGAAGGATTTGGTGCATCCAGATCCTTGATCTGGGCAACTGGATCTAAAGGAAGATGGCCCATGGCAGGAAGTTGGAACAAGATAATCTTTAGGGTTCCATCCAGCCTAAACCATTCCATGGCTGGATTAGAGGAGCATGGCTGGTGCTTCCCAAAGAGCCCTGATCAAGGCTGGGTTAGGATGGATCTGGAGATGGGGTCATCCCTGGGGTCAGAGCCAGGATTTGGAGAAATGCTCTGGGATGGAAAGTCCTGGCCAGGATGATGGGACGGGTTGAATCTTGGATCTCTCTGGAAAGTTTGTGGCTGGGTGAGGAAATGCTGTGGTTTTAGGCTTTACTGAGGGCTGAGTGTGGGACAAACCCTGCAGGTGTCACATCCCACCAGGCTGCTGATCCACCTGGAAGGTCGTGGTGGCTGCCCCAGGGATGAGCATTGTGGTACCAGGCAGGGGATGCTGCCCTTTGATGTAAACCTCATTCAGCAGTGCTTGGGAGGAGGCTCCATCCATCCATCCATCCATCCATCCATCCATCCATCCATCCATCCATCCTGCTGGGGATCCCCTTCCTGCATCCCTGGCTGCACATGGCAGTGGGTCCCTTGGGGTTACGATGCCTTTGGGCTCTGCACAAGCTGCCCTCCTGCACCCATCCATCCCTGCTCCTGCACCCCTCCATTCCTGCTCCCAGCACTGAATTTGGGGTTCCTGGGGGGATCCTGTCAGCTGTGGGGGGCTCTGAGCCCCGCCTGTCCTGTTGCATCCACGCCCTCCCGCAGTGGCAGTGGCAGTGGGGACATCCCTGGACTCTCTGGGGTGATGCCTCCCCCCGGGCTGGGCAGTGGTCTGGAGCTGGCCCTGGGTGCAGTCCCTTGGCCGACAGCCCGTCTGGGGAGGTCAGCCTTGGGTTTTGTCCTCGTTTCCTCCCTCAACCTTCTCTCTGCTTGTTTTTCTCGGGCAGGAGAGGGAGGGGACAGTGGCTTTGCGTGTGTGCGTGCGTGTCCCCCAGGCTCTTTCGCCCCAGCAGTGACTCTGTGGGCAGTCCTGCATCCCAGAGATGGAGGGCAGCATCCCATCCCATCCCATCCCATCCCATCCCACTGATCCCTTCCCATCCCATCCCGCTGCCTGCTCCGGTGCCAGCACAGTGGCTCAGGGACATCTCCATCAGCCGGGTGTCACTGGCTGTGCCAGGCACTGGCGGTGCCCCCGTGGCCTGGCTGTCCTGTCTGCCCTCAGATTTTGCCAGGGCCATGCCAGCTCTGCTGGAATCCACCAGCATCCCTTCAGGATTTAACCCCAGGCCTGGCTTTGCCCGGCTCTGGAATCACCTGCAGAGCTTTTGCACCGCGTGTTGGCTCTGACTGAGCCACACCTCTTTCAGCCCTGACTGAGGGGACAGGGACACACAGAAGGGTGCTTCCATCCAGGTTTTGGTGCCTCTGCTCTTCTGGAGGGATTGGGATTTGTCCTGGGATGAAAATAATGTGGCATTGCTGAAGCCTGTGTATTTGTGCAGCAGAGGCTGTGTCTGAGCAGGGGATGGGGCTCGAATTCCCGTGTTGGGATGGGCTCCCAGGGCTTGGCACTGCCCTCTCTGTCACCCCTGGTGGAACGGAGGGACAGTGTCCTCGATGCCATCACGGTGGTGGCATCCCCCAGGAGCAGCATCACCTCGCTAGGAATATTTGGGGATGGGGTGTGACACTGGGGTTGATCCATCCATCCTTGGAAGTGTCACAGTGGCTTTGCAGCTCCGTGTGCAAAAGGAAAGGTGGAAAGCACCCAGAGCAGCTGATAGGGTTTAAAATTTTTTTTTTTTTAAAAGCACAAAGCCATTAACCCTCTGTAGGCTGTGCTGTTGGGAAGGCAGAGCCTGCTCCCAAGTGGATGAAGCTTTGTGTTGCTTATCCCAGCTCATCCTGCTCCTCTCCCCATGCTGCTGATGGCGCTTCCAAAAAAACCCCAAATGAACCTTTTCCCCTTTGCAAAGGTGTCCTCTTGGTTGCAGGGAGACAGGGGTGGGGGAAGGAGTAGTCCCTGTTCCATTCCACTGGAACTGATGAGCCTGGTGCTGCTTCCTGGGAAAAGCATCCTTGAGGCAAAGCCTGTAAATGCTGGATATCATTAATAAGAAATTATGAACAACCAAGAGAGAGGGGGAAAAAAAGCATCTGACTGTCCCACAGCTGGACTGATGCTCTTCTTCACCCAGCAGAGGCTGCGAGATGTTTTTTGGGGTGCCCAACACGCCGGGATGAGCCAGGCTCGGGGAGCATCACTGAGCCCCTTCCCCTCGCCTGCCCTCTGTGGCTGCACATGGCTCTGCTTTGGGCACCCCGAAGCCTTTTAGGCAACACGGGAATAAAAAATCATCCCTCGGGATGGTGTCAGCGGCATCCCTCAGGCCGGAGCGGGACGGGCACATCCCGGCGGGCAGGATGCCGGCGGTGGGCGCTCGGGGCCGTGCCGGCCGGCGCCTCGCCAGGCGGGGCTGTGGCCGGGCTATTGTTTTCCCTTCCTGCTTGTTTTTCCGGACAACCCTCTCGTTATTAAATAAAAACACCCGTCGGAGGAGCGAGCAGACCCCACCCCCAGCGCGGTCCCGTGCCGAGAGCACCCACGGAGAGCTCCCCGGGGAGGGAGGGGACAGCAGAGCGGTGAAGGTAGGCGACAGGAGAGGGACAGGAGCTTTGGGATGTGCTTTATCCCTCTGCCAGCTTCCCAGGCACGGCCGTGCTCCAAAAGGGGTGGTTGGGCAATGGGATGTGCACGGTGCGGGCAGCGCTGCTGGGCTGCTGTATCTTGGTTTGGGGAGCTGTGGAGAAACACATCATTTTGATAAAAAAATCTTCTGATGGCCTCAAAACCAGGGAGAAAAGGCTGAAGGTTTCATGCAAGGGTCTGGAAGGCAGAGGGCAAGTTGTAGGAGGCCGAGGATTAAAAGCGAAAGCGTGAGTGTTTGGGGTTGTAACGATGCCCCTTTGTGTCGTCCGAAATTTTCACAGACTTTTATTCTGTAAAAATGGGGGTTTAATGCTATTTCTTTCTTCAGCAAAAGTCAAGTTTTGACATTAAATAGTTCCAGCCAAGCTTTTTTGTCCTGAAGTGCAGCAATGTCCAAATTGAGAAGAGGGCATGGGGGACTTCTTTTTTTTGAGGAGCAAGTGCTGACATAGTATTTAGCTCCTTATTAAAGCACTTTTCTTTAATGCAATTTAATACTGAAGGTCAACTATGAATGCTTTGGTGGTTGGAAATGATACAGAAAAGCAGATTGCTTTTGCAGGGTGCAGGTGGAAATGGAGCTTGGGTTCCACCTCCTGTGCTGGGATTTTTGGTGGTTTGGCTGGAGAGAGACTGCCCTGCCCCAGTGACCACCAGCATCTCCCTCTACCACCATTCCTTACTCATCCTTTCCTTCCATCCCCTGCCTTTGGGGCTCCTCCAACCCCCATCCCTCTCCCCGAGCATCCTCCCCATCCTCTGGCCGTTCTCTTGCCCCAGCAGCTGTTTTGGGACAGGACTTTGGCAGCACCACGTGAAAACTCTCTTAAAATAGAGCTGGAGGGCAGCGTCAGGGCGGGGAGGGCTGGCTGGAGGCGCCGCCGGCCCCTCGGGGTGCGGAACTCACGGCCACGCTGCTTTCTAATAATTTTTAGGGGTGTTTTCTGCGCTGATGATGCCAGAACCTTGCTTTGAGATTGGCAGTGTGTGGTGGGGCCCCGCAGTTTTAGGGTTCACCCTGGTTTAGTGCATCCAGTGAGCTGCCCAGGTGTGCAGCAGGGGATGGAGATGGGATGGGTGACCTGCTCCTGGCCCTGGACAGAGCCAGAGGGGCAGGGTGCTGATGGTGGAAAAGAGCAAAACTCATGATTCTTTTTCTTCTTCTTTTTTTTTAAAATATGTATTTTAATATAAGAAATATTAAAAGGGATATATATTTGAAATATTTGCATTTTCCCAGAGCAGGAGCCCTGGATTTAACCCTGCCATTAATCCCCATTAGTCAGGCTCCTCCGCTCCGCTGGAGCTGCAGGGACGGGAGCTGCCGGAGGGGCATTTTGGGGCAAGTTGGGGTCTTTTTGGGGATCTCACCCCGGCAGGCGCCTCTCGTCTCGGCCGGGGCTCTGGCTCCGGGCAAGCTCACGAAAAGCATCTGAGAGCAATAAAGAGCAAAAGGCTCCCGCTGACAAGCCCGGGCTGAAGTCACCGGCGGGACGCGGCCAAGACACGCATTGTCCTCGCCGCTGCTGGGACTGATTAGAGCCGCCTGGCAAGGAGCGCCGCTGGGTGAGGGATCAGCCCCCTTTGCCAAAAATCCTCCATCCGGAGGGCAAAAAAAGCCGGCTTTTGTTTTCCAGGCTGGCCGATGCCGCCCCCAGACCCGTTTTTTCCCCTATTTTGCGCCCGTTCCTTCGTGGCTGTGCCTATGCCAAGCTTGGGGTATCCCCGGATCCCTGGAGGAAAAACCTGAATTTAGGGATTTTTTTCAAGAGAAAACCTGGCAAACAGCTAACTGCTCTGCTGATTTCCTGCTGTCTCTACAGTTTTTTGATATTTATTATATCCTTAATTATTTTCTACGTGTCTTTTGGGGGGGGGCGCTGAACCATCCAAGATCTCATCAAAATGTTCTTGGCAGTCGTGAGAGGCTCGGGAAATGTTGAGGTGGATGGATGTTCCAGCTGGGATGCAGCATTTTGTAACAAGTACATATATAAAGAATGTTCATGTATTTATATATTTATCTATTTTTATATAAGTAGTTTAACTATAGTTTATAATATTATAGTTTAGTTAATATATAATAGTTTAATTATATATAAGCATGAATGTATAAAATATTGAAAATACTAAATATATATAAATTATAAAAAGTATATAAAAATATGTAAACACTTTTCCTACCTCTTTGCCCTGCTCCAGGCTGCAGAGCCAAGAATTTGGAGCAGAACTGGTTTTTCCATGTTTTTCCTGGGTGCCAGCACTTGCTGGGATTCTCCAGGGCTATCAGGACCATACAAAACTGAGATCCCTATTGGTTGGATGGGTTGGTTGTGGAGCAGAAATCAAATGAAAATGAAAAAATTTGGCAGGGAGAGGGAAGAGTTTTTTTGCTTGTTGGGAAAACAGAGAAGAAAACACCCTTTTTATTATTTAAACATTTTTGTCTGTGTGTCCTTTTGCCTTTGGCTCACCAGAAAAAAAAAAAAAGACAAACAGAACATGTCTTGCTGGAATTTGTGTGTTGATCAAGACTTGCCGTTTGTTCCAGAAAAAAATGGGAGTTGAAAATCTCTCTTTGGAGCAGGAGGTGCAGGATAAACCTGGCAGGTTGAATCCTCCCTCTCTGGCACCGTTCTGCACCATGTCCTTGGTCACATCCTACAAAGGTCAGGGAAGAGGGTGTTGTGGGGTCTGGATGTGTCTCCATCCAGGATTTGGGTGTTCAGCAAAGGAACCAGAGGGAAAGGGTGTGTCCCACCTTCTTTTAATACAGGACACAGGATTTAGGGCATGGGATATCCCTTGGATTTGGGATGGAGCAGGCAGACTAATCCTGGGGTTCAGGTATGACCAGGAGAGGGGATGAACACCAGGGATGGTCTGGAGCGTGTGAAATACGTGGGAGTTGGATTAAGTACCCAGAAAACTCAGCCTGGGGAGGGTTGGCAGTGCAGCATTCCCCAGCCTGGGGTTGCTGCTCCCTGATTTGAATTTTTCCAGGTAGTGCCTTTCCCCAGGCAATGGAAAATGAGCATTAAAAAGTGCATAAATCATGCCAATGAATCCAGCTGTGAGTGAGCTGCTGTCGTGAGCGAGAGCACGCAGTGTAGTTCAGAAATATCAGAGGATATTGGGCTTTGTGTTATTATCTGCAGAAGCAGGGAGCTATAAAATCCTAATTTCATTTTATTTAGGGGGTTACATCTCAGCAGGTGCCTAAAATTGGCTTCCTGCTTGGGGCAGATAGCCACCTGGATCTCCATCCTGGTTCAAGAGGTCAAGACATCCTGTGTGACATCTCTGAGTGAGTGTGGACACCTGAGCCTGCCTTTGGACCTCCTCGGTGGCCATGGTGCCTCCTACCCACCTTGAAGGGATATCAGTGGGTGCTGTTGTGGCTCTGACCTGTCCTTTCACTGGGCCCTCTCCTCTTTGGTTGAGTCTCCTGGACTCAAGCTGGTGGTGGAGCTTCCTGGTGTTCCAAAGCTGGGGCTGGTAGTGGAGCATTTTGGTTGACATGTCCAGGCTGCGGCTGGTGATGGAGTGTTTTGGCTGGTATCTCCAAACTGGGGCTGGTGATGGAATGTTGTAATTGGTATCTCCAAACTGGGGTTGATGGTGGAGTGTTTTTGTTGGTATCTCCAAACCGGGGTTGATGATGGAGTGTTTTTGTTGGTGTCTCCGAACTGGGATCGGTGATGGAGTTTCTTGGCTGGTGTCTCCAAACTGGGATTGATGATGGAGTGTTTTTGTTGGTGTCTCCAAACTGGGATTGGTGATGGAGTATTTTGATTGGTCTCTCCAAACTAGGGTTGGTGATGGAGTTTCTTGGCTGGTATCTCCAAACTGAGGTTAGTGATGGAATGTTTTTGATGGTATCTCCAAACTGGGGCTAGTGATGGAGTATTTTGGTTGGTATCTGCAAGCTGGGGCTGGTGGTAGAACTTCATGGTTAGTATCTCCAAGCTGGGGTAGGTGACAGAATGTTTTGGTTGGCACCTCCAAGCTGGGGCTGGCAGTAGAGCTTCTCAAGTGACATCTCTGACTTGGGGATGCATGGACAGGCATGGATGGCATGGCCAGAAGGGTGTTTTTGTGGGGAAAGAGCCCTGAAAGATTTTATTTCTTTCCTCCCCACAGCTGATAGTCGAAAAAACGACTGACTACCCTTCGGCTGAGTACTCCCTGGTGGAGGATGTAGCCCTCCACTTCACGTGTTTGATGGACAGACTGAACGAGCAGCGCCTCTTTCAGCCGGACCTGTGCGACGTGGACATCGTGCTGGTGCAGCACAAGAGCATCTTCCCGGCGCACAAGGGGGTCCTGGCAGCCTACAGCCAGTTCTTCCACTCCCTCTTCACCCAGAACAAGCAGCTGCAGCGTGTGGAGCTCTCTCTGGAGGCCCTCACGTCGCAGGGCCTCCAGCAGATCCTCAACTTCATCTACACCTCCAAGCTGCTCGTCAACTCCTGCAATGTGCAGGACGTGCTGAACGCGGCCGCCGTGCTGCAGATGAACAACATCGCGTCCTCCTGCCAGGACCTGCTGGACACGCGCTCGCTCAGCCTGGCCACTGACATGGCCCTGCCCGCCGAGGGCTGCGCCGGACCCCCGCCCTACTACTGCGAGATCAAGCAGGAGGTGGACGCTCCCCACCCCAAAATCTACGCCCGGGAGGGCAACGACCCCTTCTCGGTGCGGGTGGAGGATGGGACGGGCAGCGGGACGCTCCCCCCCGGCCCGGCCAAGCAGTACTACAAGGAGGAGAAGGATGGAGGTCCTGGTGCTGTCTGTAAGATGGAGGGTGAGGAGTCTGAGGAGGACCTGGACAGCCAGGGCTCCTACAACCGGGAGCAGATCATCGTGGAGGTGAACCTCAACAACCAGACTCTCAACGTCTCCAAGGGCACAGAGGGGAAGGCGGCCGCCAGCGAGGCGGCCGTGATGGGGCGGCCAGACGGGGATGGGCGCGATACGGAGGAGGACGGGGAGGAGGAGAATGAGGAAGGGGAGGAGGAGGAGGAAGAAGAGGATGATGCAGAGGTGGGGGAGGAGGAGGAGGAGGAGCGCAGCGAGGAGGAAGATCTGGAGGAGACGACGGAAGAAGAGGATGATGATGATGAAGATGCCTCAGAGATGAAAAGGGAAAAGAGCGGGCAGCCCCGCAGGGGCAGCCGGGCATCCAAAGCCACTAAACCTGCCATGGCAACCAGGTCCCAGGAGATGGCCAAGGTGGAAGAGGAGGAGGAGGAGGAAGAAGAAGGCCAGAGGGGAAGGAAGAGAAAGAAGGAACAAGATGGCTTGGGCCAGAAGGTGAAGCTGGAGGAGAAGCAGCATTATCCGTGCAAGAAGTGTCCCCGGATCTTCAACAACCGCTGGTACCTGGAGAAGCACATGAACGTCACACACAGCCGGATGCAGATCTGCGACAAGTGCGGGAAGCGCTTCCTGCTGGAGAGCGAGCTCCTGCTGCACCACCAGACCGACTGTGAGAAGAACATCCAGGTGAGCATGCATCCATGCAGGGCATGGATCCCACTGGGGTGAACATCCCACCAAGGGGGAAATGCCTTACGCCACGTGGAGCATCCCACTAGAGATGGATGTCCCACCAAGGGGGGAATACCCCACCAAAGTGGATGGATGTGCCATCAGGGTGGGGACATCTCACCAAAGGAGGAGCATTATTGTGTTTGCAGGGATCCCCGTGGCAGGGAGGAATGATGAATCTCACTCCATGTTCTCAGAAGGCTAATTTATTATTTAATGATACTATATTACATTAAAGAATACTATACTAAACTCTACTAAAGAATACAGAAAGGATACTTAGAGAATGCAAAAAAGATAATAATGAAAACTCATGACTCTCTCCAGAGTCCTGGCACAACTTGGCACTGGTTGGCCAATAAGACAAAATAACTCACACCAGAATCCAATGAAACAATCACCTGTGGGTAAACAATCTCCAAACACATTCCAAAGCAGCAAAACAGAGGAGAAGCAAATCAGATAAGAATTGTTTTCCTTTTTCTCTGAGGCTTCTCAGCTTCCCAGGAGAAAAATCCTGGGCAAAGGGATTTTTTCAGAGAATGTGAATGCCACAGGGCATCCCACCACTGTGGGACATCCCAGTGAGGGAAGGTCATCCCAGGCACCACGGAGGTCGTCCCGTGCAGTTACACCATGGGATGGGCTCGTGCTCAGATAATATTGATGTTGCAGTTGGCACATGTGTAGTGGTTTTGGTTGTTAATTTGAGATTTTGAGATTAATTTGAGATATGAAATTTTTCTTCTATATGCAAAACCAGCACACTATGGCAGTTGGGAGGGAACCTTCTTTCACCCATGACTTGTATTCAGACTCAGCAGGGGTCCCACAGTGGCCTGGAATTAGAGGATTTGTGCCAGGGGGGCTGTGGCTTCCCCTTGGCTGCCTGGGTGGAAACACGGAGTTAATTTTTAAGCAGTAATTTTTGAGCAGTAATTTTTCTTTTGAGTTTATTCAGTTAATCTGGATAAAACACTGCGAGCCCTTGATGGAGACAAGCTCCAGCATTCCCACCCAGGCTGAACCCATTTTAGCTTAATTTGAAGATTTGCTGACAGGAGTTAAAATGGTTTTAATCTGCCTTTTGTGCTTTTTTTGTGTGCATTAGCAAATTTCTGAGTGCGTTTGACATCCACGCATGGCTTGGGCTTGGTTTGGCTTTCCCCTGTGCTAATGAGATCCTGTGTTGGCAAATTGACTTTGTTAAATCAGTGCAATTTTAGGGGGATAGGGAGGCACCCAATCAGAGCAGCAAGCACATGTGTTCCTGAAGATCCCTCCAAATTCCCATCTCCTAATTCCTGATGAGCTGTTTTACAGGATGCTGCTGCTAATAATTACAAATATACCAATTCATGGAGAGCTTCTCCCATCACCCTTCCCACCAGCGACCAGATTGTGAATGATCTCACAGCTCTATGAAGGTAACACAACCCAAGTGCCACTGGAGCCCTTCACTGATGACATCCCAAATAAAACAGGGAATGAGGCAGATCTTGGCAAGTAGGGAACACAGAAGCAGGAACACTCTTGGCTCATAGGTGAAGCAGTCACCCTTTGGTGCATCCTTCTGACAAATTCACAGCTCTGAAGTTGCTTTTTTGGGATGCTTTTTCCCAGAATGGATGAATGTAGCTTCGATACCTGCGTGGTGGTGGCTGTTTCAGGACCTAACATAAAACCTGGGCAGTTAAAAAGGAGTTTTACCAGAATGTTTATTCAGCTTCATCTGCTTTCTGGGTGGATAACATGGGGCTGTCACCTCATTGCTTGTTTTTTGTTTTGCCCCCTCCTTTTTATCCCTTTTCCAAATAGTTTTGGAATAGGATGAACCACGACTGTCTGTATAGTGACCTCCTTCTGCAGAAAAAGGGATCATTGTCTCCCACTTAATTAAGCATTTTCAATTTTACAAATAGCCAAATCCACTCCATTTGCTCTGATAATATTTAATAACTTTATTAACATCCCATGGAATTATGTCTGGATGGAAAAGGATTTTTTTTCAGCACTCTACCTATAACAGTTTTTATTTCTTGTGTTTTAATCAGATCCATGGAGGGACTATCCATCTTTTCCCACTTTGGTCTGCTGCTTTCTTTCCCTCTTTCGTCCCCAAATTTCATCCATAAAGCTTTAGGATTTAAGAACCATCCTGCTCTCTGTGTTCATTCCCCATCTCCATAATGTGCATCCTACCTCTACCACCTGAAAAATGATTCATCCTTTGCTTTATTGAGTTGTCCCTCAAACTCTTTTTATTGCCAGTTTCAGTATGGTTTTCCTTTTAACCTGCAAGAATTTATATCCTCATTTTTCCCCCTCATTTGGACATTATTTCCATATTTTTTGAGTGATGATTTTCAGCAGTGAGCGAGGACACACAGAACTCAGTCCTCCAGAGTGTTTGGTCCGAGCCCTGGGGGTTTTTCTACCTCTGCTGCTTTCCCTCTACCTTTCATTTTGAAATTCCCCTGCCTATTTCATTTTAAGCGGAGAAAATGGATATTGATGTGTCTTTGATATCAGGCTCTAGTCCTGAATTTGCCCTGAAATATCCCTTAAGACAGAGATAAAGCTGTTCTGATCCATGGAAATACATACTTGGGGACAGTAGGACTTGGGAGGACTGCTCATGTTGACATTTGAGCATGGCAAGATGAAGATGTTGAGGCTTGAGAATGGCTCTGTGACCCTAATTTTTTCCTTTGGGGCACCTAAATATAAATACAAATGGAAAAATACAGTGACTTCACAGCATAATGGTGTGTTTTCCATGGTATCACATCAAAATTTGGTTGAGGCCCATCAAGGAGCATCTGTTGCTTTGGAAAGGAGGAGAAGTGGAGGAATCCCTCCCCAGGTTCACTGGTACAATTCAGCCACGTTGTTGCAAGATGCCTTCAAGGCATGAATTATTTTCTCAACAAATCTGCAAGGCGAGAAGGGGTGGTTTTATCCCTGTTGACCAAGAGGAACGTGAGCCATGGAAAAGTAAAGGGGAAGGAGTTGACCCTTGGCTCCTGGCATGGTTTCCTTGGTGGATATTCCTCTCCTGTGTTTCCCTGAGCACTGAACTGGTCTCACATGCTTCCAAGAGGTCTCACACGGAAGCTGGAGCTTCTCCTGGGAATTTCCAGAGGAACATTGGACTTGTTGGAGCTGAAGTGATTCTCTACCTTAACTTTTTGGGGAAGACTTTGCCTGTCACATTGTTCTCCAATTTTTGTGCTTTTGGATACCATGGAATCATAGATCTGTTTGGAAAACCAATTTAGTGGTGAAGTAGCCATAATATCTGCTGAAGACTGAAGTTGTACTGCCCTGGATAGGGATTCTCCTTCTTTCCATAGTTTTTGCAAGTTTCCAGTGCACAGAGGGTTGGGTTATTTTACATAAGATCTTCATTTAGGAATAAAATTCCCAGCTGGGAATAGGGCATGAGCTGTTGCTTATCCAAGTTCTGATACAGCCATTGATGAAGATTTCACATCCTTCCCTAGAAGGTCATTGCCCCTTGCTCAACCCATGGTTAGAAATACAAAGTTTGGAGGTTTTGAAGTGACAAGGTCTATATCAGACTTGCTGGTAGTTATGATTTTTGATATCAGCTGTAGCTTTCGCCATGATGTTCTCTTTCCATGGATGAAGCTGCTTCCCTGACCACCTCCTGTGTCCTTGCAGTGCGTGACATGCGGGAAGGGGTTCAAGAAGCTCTGGTCTCTCCACGAACACAACAAGATCGTCCATGGCTATGCAGAGAAGAAGTTCTCCTGCGAGATCTGCGAGAAGAAGTTCTACACCATGGCCCACGTGCGCAAACACATGGTTGGTGAGTGTGGGAGGCACCACGGGGAGATCTTGTTGGGGGTGTTGTCTATCAGTTTGGCAATGAAAGGTGTTTTCTGTTGCTGTCATGTTGTCTTACTCTTGGGTGAGCTTTCTCACATCCCCATCTTGAAATATGGCCTGATATTCAACACTGAGCCAGTGTCTGCTCAGTGCTGGGTTTGGACGTGGTGCTGGGGAATCCCATTTATTTTATTGATCAGAAGTGATCAGAGGAAGGTTTGAAGTGTAACCAGTGTAAAAGGACCAGACCACACAAGTGCTGGGCTTCGAAAAGCCAGTTCCATGTGACAACAGTGGTTGGGTTCCTGGGCCTTGGAGCCACCAAAGAGATCCAAAAGAATGGGGGTTTGGAAGGGAAATGCTTGAAACGTCACTGCCATATATCTTCCAGAGATCCTTTGGGTTTGCTGGGGTGGGCACTGGGAGCCAGAGCTGGGGTGTGGGGAGATGGATGGTGGAGGTGTGTGGAGGCTGCTGACCTGCACTGTCCCCCCCAGCACACACCAAGGACATGCCCTTCACCTGCGAGACCTGCGGGAAGTCCTTCAAGCGCAGCATGTCCCTCAAGGTCCACTCGCTCCAGCACTCCGGGGAAAAGCCTTTCAAATGTGAGGTAAGGCAGAAACACTGATCTGGGGAGAGATCTTCCACTCCCTGGGGCTTCCACTGTGCTGTGTGCCACTGCAGCTGTAGGGATGATCCCACGCTTTTCCAAACTTTGCATCACCTCCTGGTCTGAGAGTCCCTTCACCTTTATGATGAAACTTGTTCTATGCCAGGATCTGTCCCAACAGATTGCCTGGACTTTGCACCCACCCAACCTGCAAACCTAGCTGGGTATGTCCCAAAAAGCCTGTTTTGGGGGGGTTTCTTGTGGGGGTAAAAAACAGGATTTCCTTGCTGCTGGTGATTTGAGGGAAATGTGGGGACATTTTGAGTGCTCATCAACAACTCCTCGCCCCCACAGAACTGCAACGAGCGCTTCCAGTACAAGTACCAGCTGCGCTCCCACATGAGCATCCACATTGGCCACAAGCAGTTCATGTGCCAGTGGTGTGGCAAGGACTTCAACATGAAGCAGTACTTTGATGAGCACATGAAGACGCACACGGGTGAGACCCGCCCCTTGCCTGGCCCCAGATCCCTGCAGACAGGCTCTCCCTGGAAAGAGTGATGGGATGGGGGTAACATCTTGGGGTTGGGTGGCAGGATGGGGTTTTGGGGGAGCACTGATAAGGCCCCAGTCAACTCATTCAACAAGACTTTTGGAAAGGCTTGCAATGGTTCATGATCTCTGAGATGGACACACAGGAGAAATACCAACAAGGTCTTCTCAAGAGGTCAAAACAACACAAAGGTTTGCTGGCAAACTTGAGGAAAACCAGGGAACTTTGGCAAAAGGTTTAGTACAGCATTCAACCAACATAAAACACTTCTCAGGGCATTAAACTTGGCCCATTCAACTTAGCAAACTTTAAACATGTTTGATGTTGAGGTACTCAGAATATTCCAAGGAGAGGGAATTAGAAGAAGAAAGAAAGACAGAAAAGATACAGAAAATCACATAGAGGTAGCACATATAGGTAGTTTGTAACACAGGCTGCCAAGCCCTGGGTTCAGACAGAACTTCCAAGAAAAAGGTAGGGTCTAGATGAATGTGATGGCATGGTGTTTACCTTTAAATACCCCTTGGTCCTCAAAGGCCTTTCTCCCACATGGAATTTCTGGTCATTTGGCCCTCAGGGGGTGGATTAGGGGAGAGTGGAGCATTGCCTCCCCGTGTGCCATGACTGACAGACACTGCCAGGCTGGGATACAGGCTCTGGGGCTGGGATGTGGGGCCGTTCACTGCCTCACCAGGGCAAGGCACACACATGCACCCCAAAATATCTCAAGACATGAAATCTTCCCAGTCTCTGAAGAGACTAACCAGCAGCTTCTCGCCCTCTTCTCCCACCCTCAGGGGAGAAGCCCTACATCTGTGAGATCTGCGGGAAGAGCTTCACCAGCCGCCCCAACATGAAGCGGCACCGCCGGACCCACACCGGGGAGAAGCCGTACCCCTGCGACGTCTGCGGCCAGCGCTTCCGCTTCTCCAACATGCTCAAGGCCCACAAGGAGAAATGTTTCCGCGTCAGCAACCCCTTGGCTTCGGACACGGCCGTCCCCCAACCTGCCACCAGCCCGGCTCCGCTGCCCCCCGGCCCCGGCGTCTCCCCCCTGCCCCTGCCGCTGCTCCATCCTCTTCCACAGACCCTCCCTCCTCCTCCTCACCTACCACCACCCCCTCCCCTGTTTCCCGCGGGGAGGATAAATTCCAACAACAATTAGGTGCCCCACCCCTACCCCGGCCACGCGCCTGCACGGACTGCTCTGCCCTTCGGGAGCGCCTTTCCCCCGGGGAGCCAAGGCTTTGCTTGCTCTCTACCCCCCTTTCCTCCTCATTTTGGGGTTGTTTTGGGTTTTTATTGCTTTTTCTCACCCGTCATTCTCCGCAGAGAGGGGGAGCAGGAAGAAACCCCCCACACCCCTCCCCGAGGAGCGTGGGTGTTGTGGGGGAAACTGCCGTCCGTCTGTAAGGGTGTAGGTAAAAGGTGTCACTCTCAGTTTCATCTTCCCATACGCTGGCATCACCTTCCTGCTGGGATGCTGGTGAGGCTGGGAGGAGCAGGATATCTGGGCTTGAGCTTGCTGGCCGGTGCATCAATGTTTTTGAAGCCGAATTCTAGTTAGTGGTGCTTGAATCCCTGTACTGTAAAGCTGGTCTTTCAAGTCAGGCTCTTCACCCACGGGGTTGAAAGCTGGGCACCCCAGGCGAGCCTGTCACTGCCAGCCCCAGTGGCCCGTGGCAAGCGAGCAGATGTCCCCATTGGAAAGCCATGAGCACGCTCTCTTTAGCAGCCCTCCACACGTCTTCCGTCCCTACAACAGATTTTCCTCCTCCACAGGCAAAAGCACAAACACCCACCTTGCATCTCGGGGCATCTGCAACTCGCTGTCGGTTCCGTTTCGGGGTGCCCTAAGGGAGCTGGGTTCTGGTGCGCCCTTTCTGCTAATCCCAGCAGGAGCTGGGCTCCTGGGGATGCTCTGGAGTCGGGGAGCTGTTCCTGGGAGAGCTCAGGTACCTTTGGGAGCGGCAGGAGGGTAGCCTGGGACAGAGGAGCAGGACGCTTCTGTTTCTCGGCAGAATCGGCCCAGAATAGTGCCTTAACAATCTGAACAAACCCCAGAGGGATGGGTGAGCTCAAGGTTGGTCCTACTGCAAGGTTCAGAGCTAAAGCAGGACCATGGGGATGATGATGTCCCAGTCTCCAGTTTGTTGCCTGCTTTGCTCTCCCAAGCTTCACTTCTTGTGGTGCTGGTTTCCGTTGCCCTGTCCTGGTCTGGGGGGACCAGAGGGGACCAGTGAGGGTTGTGGTTGTTTTGGTGATGCCCTGTGATGTTGCTTAGTGCTTGTTGAAGATGTTGAAGTCGAGCTGGTCTTTGGTTTCACTTGCAAATAATAAGGCTGGCTTCATGCTGAGGAGGAGGAGAAGAGGAAGGCTTTGTTGTCATCTTTTTGTTGTGCACTGAGGTCCCAGCAGGGTCTCTCACTGCTGTGCTCTGCCCCAGGGTGCCATGCATTGTCCTGACCATGGCTGTGGGGTTCCTGCCAGGGGAAGTCAGAGAGCACCCAGCATGGGCAGAGAAGGGCTGGCAAGAGGTGGGGGGTGTTCCAGCTGATCCTGTGCTTCTAAAACCGGTGTAGGTCAGGTCATGGATGAGGTGTTGGAAGCACTGTTGGTAGGTAAGAAGGAAAGAGGTCACTGAGTGGGCTGCAGGAGCCTTTTCTCATATCCAGCTTGTGCTGGGTGACAGCAGAGGGGGGACAGGAAGCCTGTGAAAAGCCTTGGTGCTTCGTCTCCTGGACCAAATCAGCAAAGCAACTGGGCAGCATTTAGGCTATCCCTGCAGAGATGGGAGGATTCTGTCACGTGCTCAGGGGCTTTGCTGACTGGGGACATGCAGGAGCCTGACAGGGACAAGACCAGGGAGCATCTTCTGTTCTCCCGAGTGCTCTTTGAGGTGTCTGGTGTCACCTCCTGCTGAATGGTGCCCCACTGGTGCCCGACTGATGTTAGCATTTTGGGGCCACAAAGTCCCTTTCATCTTCATGTTGGCTGGGATCCTGTGGATCCCCAGCGTGGCTCTCAGTACCAGTGAGCTCACGCCCATCTTCATCTGCTCCGAGAATGAGGAGTTCGCTATGGCAGAGCTGCCTCACCTTATTGACCTTCTCAGGTGGGTTCCAAAGGCTTCTCTGCTGCCCCCCTCCATGACCCTGGGGCTCGTTGGGATGGTGCAAAGCCTCAAACACACCTGTCAGGGATGAGGGCTTTTGGGTCTGAAGGGACCATGACCCATACTGGAAGGTGTTTTTTTTTGGAGAAGCATTCAGTGAAACCCGTGGAGGTGCTGGAGTGGTCCATGCTGTCTCCTCCTCTGCTGCCTCCCAGATCCCATCCCCTTGGGTTTTCTTTCCCCTGATGTTCAGCCTTGAGACAGGATGGGAGCGCTGTGCCCTGAGGAGGGCTCACCTTATTTTATGGTTTTCTGTCATGGAGCCCATCAGCTGATAGGCTTCCCCCAATGTAAACATCCATGCCAACATTGTGCTCCCTTGTTCCACTCTCCTGGAGGTGGCTTTCCCTGTTCCCATCCCAGTTCATCCTCTCCCAGTGAGGACCTGCCACCCTTGGACATCTCTGTGAGATGAGCGCACTTCCTTGAGGCTGGAAGCCCAGCGGAGAGCCCAGTGACTGATCCCAGCCACGCCCGATCCCCTTCGAGAGCCTGCTCGTAGAGCCACTTGGAGACGTTGAGATGTGACCATGCACACAGCACTTTGGAGAACCAGATCCCTGCTGCTCCCTCCCCTCTCCAAGGCCTGGCTAGTTCCCAGGAGTCCTACGAGGCCTCTGAGCCCTTTTGTCTACACCCTGACTCAGCCCCAGTTGTGTCTCCATGTCTGGTTTTCGTTCATGTACTGAGAGCTCAGACGAGTCGCTCCCGCAGTGCCTCGTCCATCCCGGACCCATCCTGGCCGGCACTGTTGCACCCCTCGGGGTTAGACAGGGCAGGAGAGCTGGGTCCGTTATTTTCAAGCTTTTTATGTTTTACTTCAATTTTTTTTTTAATTTTTTTTTTTTAACTCTTGCACCTTAATCTCTCACATCCCTTCTTTGACAGACCGCGAGGGTGGAGAGGGGCTTGATTTCCATTACGCAGTTCCTGATTACGCCGTAGCGCAACCTTCAGCTGACAGCTCTTCCCACACACCTAAACCCCAGACCTGTCTGGGTCAGAATTTTTTCCCCCCCCCGCACTCCACCCTTCATTTGAACTTTGGGGAGGGAGGGGATCATGTGGGGAGGGTCACTTTTGGTTTAAATATCCCAGGAGCCTGGTAGCACAGACCAGTTCGCCTCACGTATCCATGAGGCACGGCTGGCCCTTCGGACCACAGCCATAACCCTGGCGCGGTGGGAAGGTGATGGATGGGTGGGAATGGCTGTGACAGTGCAATAGAGACGAGCATCCGCTGCTAGACAACTCCTCTGAGGTGACTCTTGGTTTGCCTGAAGTCAGGAGGGAAGGACAGACGGACAGACGCCCTTTGTTCACACGGACGGCGAGAGCTTCCCCACATGCAGCCCTGCCTAGAGACACGGAACCACGACGGGAGTTGGGTTGAACTTACAAAGGAGGAAAATAATAATTTTTAAAAAAAAGAAGAAAGAAAAGATAGGAATAAGAACAACCTCTGTAGCATGGAACTTGAAGGAAATGAATGAAACCCCAAGCACTTGCCTCAAAACTAGTTTCTCATGCCTGGTGCTTGGCTCTGAATTATTTTACGGCATTCAGTATCAGTTGCCCAAACATGCCAAGTTAAGAGTGTATCGGTGGCTCTACAAGTGTGAACAAACTAAACGAAGCACTTTATTCTGTATAGATTAAGGGAAGGCGGGGAGGGGAGGGGAAGCTTGGATGCTTTTCGGAAGCGTCTTAAGTAATGTTCTAGGAAATGTATTATTATTATTATTACTTTTTTTTTTTTTATGACCATGTGTAATCAATATATGTTTATCTTTAACTCCAAGTACAGCAGTTACTCTCTTTGGGATGGTGTGAGGAGGGGGAGGCTGAGATGGTTGGATTACTCCATCCCCGTGGGGCCAGCTGAGGCAAGTCATTGTCTACCGCAGGAACGGGCGAGTCTTGCTTCGTCGATGGTCCCGTTGGCCAATGTCCAGGAGGTCCCAAGAGGTTCATCAAAGCCACCTCCCAAGGCACAACTCCCAGTCAGACATGCCCATCCCGAGCCATCTTCTGCCTGGGGGTGCTGGGGCTGCTCTCTGTGCCGCCCACGAGCGCTACAAGTCACGGTAGGGAGGCTGGTTTGGGTTGTCCCTTGAGGCCAGGTCTTTGGCCATACTTTGAAATCTGCTTTTGGCCTCTCACCAAGGCACGTTGGGGCTCACTGAGCTCTGAAATTGGTGAGAGGTCAGAAATGGACCTTTCCACTGCGTTCTCCCAGTCTGGAAGTGTTATGACTGTTACCAAAGAGGTTGCAAGTGGAAGGACTCAATCAATAAACGATTTGTCTTTTATAAAAGAAAACCGAAAGCTCTACCACTTTCTTTTGTTACCTTAATTTTGCTTTATCTTTTTCTTCCCTCCTCCTTTTTTTTTCCTAATTTTTCTTTTAAAAGGGTTTTTTTCAGGCAACTGTGTGAGCAGTCAGAGATGGGGAGGATGAGGAATCCTGTGGAATGTTGACTGCTGCCACTGCTTCGCATGTACAGGCTCTGTGTTGGGTTTGGTGGGAGGTGTGTGAGTGTGTGTGAGACAACTTGACTGCTGTGGGGCCAACAAAAAAAGAGCTCTTCAGGGAAGGGTGATGAGTGGATAGAAGAAGGAATTCAGTGCTTACAGCCCTGGGGTAAGGACTAAGCTCCTCGTCCTACTGGCTCCATCAGGTTGGTGTGAACTCTTGAGTAGGGGCTCTCTGATCTCTGTTGGCAGTGGAGAAACCAAGGAGCACATCCAAAAGCACCCAGTGCCTTTATTAATTTAAAATGGAGGAGAGGGAACCTCACCACCAATATCAGCATGGATATTGGGAAAATAATGGAAGAAGAGATGGTTTTCCCTCAGCCTTTGGATGTAGTCTTTGCCATGTCATTATCTATAGGGAGACCTGTGCCACTGAAGCTGTTGCATCTGAGCCAGGAAACCACCAGGCAGCAGGGAAGAGTGATGTCTCTCTGAGCATTCCTGGTGGCATTTCTTATCTGATGGCCTTTAAACTGACACAGCCTCTTGGAGGTGTGGAGGAGCATCCCCAGGCCACACCTTCACTTGGTGACATCCAGCTTTGCCTCCTTCCTCGGACCAGCGTGTGCTGAGATTTGCCTCTTGTTGCTCAAACAGTGGGATATTTCAAGTTCTTCTGGGTATTTTTATACAACAGCTATTTTTCCTTTTATAGTTTCCTGCCCTGTGCCATTGGTGGCTTCTCCACAGCTCTGTAATGGATGTGAACCACACATGAGCACTGAACTCCAGTTTATTTGAAACACCTTGAGCCTTTATCAGGGACCACATCACAACAACTCCTGGAAGGTCAGCAACATTCTCCTGCTGGCTTCATAAAACCCAGAATTCCTCCAGGAGAGCCAAGAAATGTGGCAGGATTAAACCTCTATGAGGATCATCAACAACTTCCCAGGCTGCATTCGGCAAGAAAAGCTGAAGCAAAGGTCAGAATCACAGAATCATTAAGGCTGGAAAATACCTTCAATCACTGAGTTAGCCTTTGACCCATCACCACCTTGTCAGCCAGACCAGAGCACTGAGTGCAACTCCCACTCATTCCTTGAACACTTCCAGGGATGGTGTTGCTGGAGGCAGGAGGTGGGATCCTGACACTGTAATAAATGACTTTTTAAAATTATTATTCTATGCAGGGATTTTAATTTTTTTTTTCTGAATTCTTACCCTTTTTATTTTCTGCCAGAGCTATTTGGAAGAGTCATCTTTAATTAGCTTGGGAATTGTCTACATGAATTTCTGCAGAACTAGGCAGAAGGTGTTTATTTCTTTTCCGTGCATTTTTCACACATTTGATTGTTTCAAAGATTTTTTTGTTCCTTTTTTTTTTTTTTTTTTTTTTCTTTAAGCTGCTTTGTGACAGCCAGTCACCTTGGATTTTGTTTTCTTTTGAAATATTTCATTACTGTTTTGATGTGATTGTCCTCTAAGGAGCTTATCCTGTAACTTCCTAAATCCTTCAAATGAAACCAGGACAAGACTCTGGTTCCTTTACTTCCCTTGAACTCTTTTTTCCTTCCAAACATATTTCAGTTTCTCCATAACTGCATTTTGACCTAGATTTGTGATACCAGAATTTTCATACCACTTTGAGGCAATTACTTTGCAATGTTTGTTTTTGTTCTTTTAAAAAAATTATTATTGATTATCAACCCTGTTAATGGTACTATGACATCACAGAATCATGGAATTGTTAAGGTTGGAAAAGACCTTTAATCCCATTGAGTCCAACCACCAACCCAGCACCACCACCACGTTCATCACTAAACCATGTCCCTGAGTGTCACATCCACATTTTTTTTGAACACTTCCAGGGATGGTGACTCCATCACTGGAACTCCACTGCCTTTTCCAGTGCTTTATAATCCTTTCCATGGAAAAACTCATCCTAATATCCAATCTAAACCTCCCCTGTCACAGCTTGAGGCTGTTTCACCCTGTCAGTGTAAGGATCCAGCTTCTTTCTAGTCCTGGGTAAACTCCTAGTTGTGATATCCATTGGGAAGAACTGTAAGGATACAGATCCTAAAATTTCAGCTCTCAGATGAGGGAAAATAACAAGAAAAGGTGAGGCTCTCCATGGGCCTGTTTTGCTGCATGTGTCCATCACAGCTTGTGCTCAGTCCTTGCTTTTGGTTGCTGTGAAGGATCAGTTTCAGCTCTATCAATATGCAAACACAGGGGATTTATTTTGGAATAGTCACATTTATTTTTAAATAAACCACTGGTCAGATGGTGTGGGCATCAGGAGATTTTTGCTCTAACAGATCTTTTTTCCTGCTGCCAGTACAGTCATGTCTCTATCAAAACTTCATTATTGACAACATTAAAATAAATATGCATTTTTTTCCTCGGTCAGAGGCTCTCTTTGAGCCAAGAACATCTGAGATCTTAGCAAAGTAAAATACTCTTAGAAAAAAAAAAAATCTGAACATGAAAAATAAGAAAACCAGCAAAAATATAAAACCTTTCCCTTAAAACCAGCATTTGTCCATCCATAGGTGAGGACATTGTGATCTGTGATTGAAGATGAGGAGCCCAAAAGGCTGGAGGTGACCACACATGGCATCCTCTGTCCATCCCTCCTCCCTTCCCACCCTACAACTTCCGTGACTCCTCCCTTCCTGAGACTCAGCTCCTGGCCTCTCATCACTCCAAAGTCAAGCTGGAGGCAAAGGACCAAGATTATTTGCTTTTCATCACAGCTTCCAAAGTGCTTGTGCTGCTCACATGATCTTCTCTTTTAACTCTCTCATCCCAACAGCCCTCTTCACTCAGGAATTCATCAAATTCTACCAGATCTCTCCTGTACCACTTGACTTTAACCCTTCCTTCTCCTCTCCAAGGAGCACTGTGCTCACAGACACCTTAGGCTGGGAAATACTTTGTGGACACCTTTCCCTGGGGAATGTCATCTTAGTCCCTTTCTGCATCCCCTCTTTGTTGGAGAGGTCCAACAGCAGTTGAAAAGATGGGGAAAAATATGGAGAAATAAGTTTAAAAATGTATGATCTATTTGTCCCGTCTCCTGAGACTGGAGTAACTAATTTTTCTGTGCTCAGTCTTCCCCAGCTCCTTGCAGGCTCCAGATCCCCTCTCTAATTACCTTGTGAACACCTTCAAGTTCACAGAGGTTTTCTAGATATTCTCCTCTCTTTCCCACTTATCCAAAAAAGCACCAATCACAGATGCAATGTCCTGGGCAGTGTCCAGATGCCGCATCTCCCCATCCCTCTTTGCCCCAGCACCCCGTGGAAAGAGGACCAATCACTCCTGGCTACATCTTGGTGAGGCGCAGAACGTTGAGGCGCACGGGCAGGAACGTGGCACCGGAGGCGTACTGGATCTCCCGGAGAACCCCTTCCCACTTCTTCTGCTCCTCATCATACCTGGGGAGAGGCAGGCAGGCAGTGGTGAGGAAAGGTCTCCTCTCCCTCCCTCCAGCTGCTCTCCATTGGGGTGGGAGCCCACAGGAATCTGCATGGGGACTTTCAGCCCTGGCGTGCTCTGGTTTGGGGGACGTGGATATCAGCACTCAGTGGATATCAGTGCTCTTGCAGGGGAAGGGATATTTTTCTTCTGGGAATTGTGTTGATGGCACCAAGGTGGAACATCCATGGTGAAGGACAGCAGGATCCTGCTGAGGGTGCCAGAGCACTGAACTGAGGGACAGGAGCAGCCAACACTGCACTAGCAGCTGTCGCTAAGTGCTTTCTGCCCACTCCTCTTGCATGTAAGACTCTCTGCTTCCCAGCCCAGACTCTCTGCTTCCCAGCCCAGATTCTCTGCTTCCCAGCCCGAGCACTGGCTGTTCCCAGGGAGAGGAAGCATCGCACAGATGCTGCTCCACACCAAAGGGGAGTCTGGAACCTGCTCCAGGCAAAATGTCAACGCTCAACAAAGCCAAAGGAGAAAGTTTTCCCTGGTCTGTTTGTGTGTGAGGCTGGGAGAGGTCACTGAAGCACCAATGTGCCCTCCAGCACAGCACAGGGTGAACTTCCCAGACACCGAGTGCTGAGCCTGCACTCTGGTACTGGTGTGACAACCTCCGTCTCACACTGACGGCATAAAAAAACCCAGAAATTATCTATTTCACTACTAACATCCCTCCCACGCTCCCTTGGACAGCCCTGGGGAAGGTTGTCACCTCCAAACGTCGTTCAGCTCCGTCGGCACCAGCTCTCCCGACTCGGTCTCCACCGTGGCGAACCCCCCGAGCAGGTAGAGCACCCCAGACAGGCTGACCAGGCTGGCAGAGCTGCGCTC